TTCTGCCTTTAGGCTCAGCTGTCTCTTCATCATAATAGACCACTACTGAATCCATATCACTGTAATTATGGAAACAAAAAACAACAGCAAAAGGCCTGATATCTTAAACTTTTAATGTACCCCCCATTAGGAAACCCCAAGAACAAATGTGCCTTTTCCAAGTCCCAAAAACATGCCGAGTAGTTGGAGAAACACCCATGACCTCAGTTTAATAGCTCACAATTCTATGACACAAAATGTAAAGCTCTTTAAATTTCAATTCATGCTGGACAACACAATCAACCAAGCAGGCTAATCTGTACTTAGATTGGAGTGCCCTGCTTGTACCAACGCTGAAGGTCAATGGTTTTCCCAACAGTTCAGCCACAGTATTGATTCCATATTTAACACAGGGATGTCATCTTCTCCAACATCGATCCCCCATCCGTGCTGACAGGATATTAAAAATCAAAGCGGCATAATAATAATTGTGTTCTGTCACTGTGGCTGACGATATTTATCATAGTTCATTAGTTCAAGAGAACTAAAGAAATGAAACGATGGGTGTGATGGAGGACATGACATTAGCATGCTGCGTGGATTCAAGCCTCCCATTCAAAAAGCTAATAAGGTCTTTCTCATTCAAGAATCAATACAAAAGAAACAGTGCAGTGAGAGCTAGAACTCAAGAGTTCAATTACATATCTTACTCCCCTGAATAACAACAGTCATGGTGTGCCACAGGTTAACGGGAAGATGAAGAAAGGAAGCCTGTGCTCTCTTTCAAAAACCACAAACTCCACCCAAGAAGTTAAAGGACCTATGAAGCTTTTAAAAAATGATGATCAGGACTCACCTTTCTGGGGAGACCATTAATCCAAAGTACAAAGCGGCAAAGTAACTGACTATGAAAATGGAAATTTTCAGATAGACCCAGGTGAAAGGCCCTTTGCACCAAGGCTGACTAACCACAAATTCCTACATTCATGTTTAAATGAAAAATCAATATGATCAGTTAAGTCTTGTATTATGTCTATGTATTATTATAAAGTGTGCACCAACAAACAGAAAGACTCAGCATTAAGCTGTCTAACTCAAAGCATGCTTCAGCTAAAAAGCAATTTGAATTTACACCCCTGAACAGATGGACACCATCCCCCTGATTGTTTTCCTTCCTCTTTATCTCTTCATTAAACGCATAGATCAGTCCTCACATCTCAGGATCCCAGATGGGTATGGTGACCACAACACATCCCAACAAGTTAAATGTGAGACAAACAGTATTTGTAGAACAAAGTAGGATGTATTAACAAGGCTAGGAGGTAGTCAATAATACTATATTTAAGTTTAGCTTTTCTAACTTTCTCCCTCAGCAAGTAAAATAAGAATAAAAGCTGACATTTGTTCTTATAGTCCCATTTTCTCTTATAAATTCACTGTTATTTCAGCTGCTG